TAGGGTGCATCACATCCTCCGTGAGCAACCAGAGCCTAACGCATGCCTATACTCCATATTGGCCTTTGATCAATGATCGGAGCCTCCGAAGCAGGGGTTAGAGTTGCCTGGCCCATATTTTTGTAGTGGGCTGTGAAGGGCCTGGGGCAAGAGATCATTGGGGTGGCATACACGGATGGCTCACAAATGCCATGGAAGGCCCAGAGACCCTTTCCTGTATCCTGCAATTTAGTTTTTCTGTGCTTTTTTCCAATGTTCTGAAAGCATAGCTGAAAAATTTGGCTCGGAAGGATGTTTTGGACTTGTTGTTTGCTTCTCCCCATCCCCGTCAGTACGCTGCAAATTGCAAGAGAGATTATACAGGAGGTAAAATTCCTCTTTTTCTGTGCCAGTTTCTCTTGACTTATCACAAGCGGTGGGGTTGCAGGTCACACACTGTGTCCTCATTGCAGCCATCCATTTCTCGAATAGGAGTTGGCACGTAGGTTCTTCCGAGGGTTCCTGCAAAGAGGTCCTTACTGGTGATACTGGGGCCAGACTGGAGCTGGCCCCTGAAGAGATGGCACACTGTTTGCACTGCTTTTCTTAACCACATTTTGCCCATAATGTTTCCTTGTTGCTACAAGGGTCTATGTCTGGCATGGGAAAAGGATCTCCTTGGTGCTCTTGACCTTGCAGCACTTGGTGGCTGCCTCAGTTCTTCTGCTGGCTTTTCCCTGCTAATGTGGAGTTAATGGTCACGTCTGCAGTGTCACAGCCTCCAGTGACCCCGTGGGGGCACCATGAAACGGGCCACCCTTGGCTCACCGCGCGGGGTGGGACGTGCCAAAGGCAACGTTGCATCAGAGTCGTTCTCCTGGACAGAGTCTCACCATGGAGGTAGCAGAGGAGCAGGACAGGAGGGGATGTGAGAGGAGCTCAGGAGAAGCTTGAGAAGATCCTTCGGGTTGACAGTGCTGAGATTAAAAAAATAATCAAGGCACGGAAGTCTCACAGTGCTCTCAGGGTACTCTTGAGATTGGGTGATAGCATGTGCATGTAGTCCTCTTGTCACTGAGAAATGCTCTAGTAAAAACGCGTGTGAAAAGCTAATCAGGAGCAGTGCTGGATACCTGTTTTGAGCTAAGAGCAGGTATATGGAGATGGCTATGGGCAGTAATGGAGCCAGGGATCAGCTAGGAGCGGGATCAGCCAGGAGCATTGCTCTTGCAGAAGACGGCTGTCCCAAACTTGCAGAAAAGCCTTTGGTGATGTCCAAACAAAACTGGGCGGAACAAAACCTCCCCTTCCTGAATCCCATTCCCAGATTGCTGCCCATATACCTTGGAGAACTTGGCAGAGTGACAAGGCTGGGATGGGAAAACCTGGAAGGAGCTGCAGTGCTGCAAGGGAGCCTTGCTGCCACTTGGCCACGCTTCAGCGTGGAAGGGGGAGGAGTGACCTTTCCTGCCTCCATTTCCCCCCAAAATAAGTGTGAACAAAACTAAACTAATCCGGTTAGCCCTGTTTTCTCCCGCTGCTGTTGAGCGGAGCAGCTGACGGGGCTGTGATGGAGAAAGGTTGGCTGCGCTTCCTGGCTGGAAAATGCAGGGAATAAGGGGACTTGTCCCAAAACTGCAGGAGAAACTGGTGCCGAAACCAGCAGGGACGTTCAGCTCTTGCAAATCCCAGCTCCGGGACTTCTCTTCCTCGCCGGCACCAGTGCCCGAGCCCTCGATGGGAGCAGCGAGGGGCCGTCCCTATTGGACTACGTTTCGCCGTGTATAGGAGGGATGGAAATGACTCGGTGCTCGCTACTAGATTAAGATTTATGGCAGGCATGTTTCTTTTAAGCCAAAAGGGGTTTTTTTTTTTTTTTTTTTTTTCTTCCTTTCAAAAAAAAACCCTGAAATTTTGCTGAAATGTTTTGCTTCTTCCTGAATGTAAAAAGATCTTTTCCTCCCTCACCCTATAATAAAAGCGCCTGAACTTGGAAGGAAAAAGCACACATGCGGGTGATGCCATTCCATAACCCGCAAATTCACCCCAAAATTAGGGAAATTTTTTCAGTGCCTGCTGCTGCCAGGCACTGGTGCAATGCCCTGTTCGAGCTTTGCTGGTGCATCTTGTGCCAACCCAGCCTGGGTCCAAACTCGGGTTTAACATGTGGTTCTCACCCTGATGGGGCTCTTGGGCTGGCTGCAAAGAAGTGTAAAAATTGCAATAAATCTATGATAGCAGAAAATTAAGGGGTGCTTCATAACAGGCTCATAAGTCATGGGTTTATATGGCTAAATATCATCCCGGCTTGCAGTCCCATGGCAGCCCTGGGTCTTTTCCAGGTGTTGGTCTGGGAAGGGAGCGCAGCGGGGCCGGAGCTGCCCGCGGAGCCGCGCGGCTCCTGCACCAGACATCCCGTCAGCCGACGGAGCCCGCGAGCGGAAGGCGCTTTGGCATGTTTGTACTGAGTGCTGGCACCGGCGCAGAGACGGGAAAAAAATAAAAAATCCCCGATTACCTAAGACTTGTCCTTGAGGTCTGGTCACCCCATGTCATTGAAAACGTAGTGGGATTCATTCATGAACTTCCAGCCCTCCATAAAGGTCTGTTCATTCATCGCCAAGGCAGTTGGCTTTTTTAAAAAATTATTATTTATTTATTTCTTATTTCTTTTTTTTTTTTTCCCCTTAATGTGCTGGCAATTAAATAACTCTTTGTAAGTGGCAATGAGCTTGTTGTTAAGTGGTCTTCTCTACGGCAGGTGCAAATGGGAGGTGAAAAAATCTTTTTCCCCCCTCACGCCACCCAAAAGGGATACTTTTATGCTAAAGAAAATAAATGAGAAGCTCATAGGAATTTCAGTATGGGATTTCAGCCTATTCAATGGCCGCTGCTGCAAAAATTCTCTCAACTTCTGTAAAACACCAAAAAAATGGCAAGCTCTAGGCGCTGATTGCAGGCTCTGATTAGGTGGATTGGTTGCTGGGATATATTTTTTTTCTCTTCTTTTTTTTTACAACATGGCTTTTCTTTCCACTTTAAACAGGCAGCTAGTTAAAATATCTTTCCAAAAAAAAAAAAAAGAAGTGCTGTGTGCTTATATATAAATAGCGAATTTTGGCACCGCCAGGCCCCGAGCGCAGCCCTTCTGCTGCTGCAGTGGGTAGGATGGGGCCATGGTTTCACGCTGCTTTTTTACACGATTCCCTTTTCCGTGCTGAGCAGAGCTCGTTCCTTTATTTGGGCAATATTCCCGCTGCTGCGGAGGGAGCCGGCCTGGCCTCAGGGCAAGGTGCCTTTGGAGCGGAGCAAGGTCCAGGGAGCACCCAGGGAAGAGCCACCGCGCGCATGGACCATGGCCGGGAGGAGGGTGCCGGGCGCGCCGCCCGCGACTCCGACGGGCCGGGCAATTCCTATAATCCGAGGGATAAAAAAATAAAATAAATAACTCTGCTTTGCTGACGTCGGCTTGAAAAATTGGGATGTGCGAAGCCGCGGCCGTCCCCC